GGTGTCTGAAAAGGAACAGAGCCTCAGCTGAGGACCTAGCGGAGGGTTGGAAGTTGCTTGGGGTATCCGGATGAGCGGCTTTTTCTTACACTGTCTAAATTACATTTATTTGTGTTGGGGTGGGAGTTTACGTGTAAAGGTCAGAGAATGACTGGTGGGAATCAATCCACCACGTGGACCCCTGGGATCAAACCGGGCAGGCGTATTTGCGGAGCCATTTCCCCAGGCCCCAACAGTGTGCGTGCGTGTTTGTGTGTGTTTGCAGTGAGTCCATCTCATTCATGTCCAATACATTTTTGTCCAACTGAGATTCAGCATGTGAGGATCAGGCAGAGCCAAGATCCAAGACCTGAGGTGACTAGGGCAGGTTCAGACCTGGCTGCTGGCTATTGTAGCTCGTGTTTATTCCTCGTCCGCAAACCAAGGTGGCAGTGAACAGGGACACCTGTCGTCTGTATCTTCCCATCTGGGGACGTCTCCTTAGACTGGAGCTTTGGCTGGATGCGGAGGCCAGAACTTCTTGTTCCAAAAGCAGCAACACTTCCTTGAAGGGACTTGGTGAAGGGTGGGCAAACCAGAGCTAAGGAGTGAAACTGGGATGTTTGATGGTGCTGTGTGGGGAAAATGAGGCCAATGAGTGAAGCAGGGACATGCAAGGAACTAGGACTGGGCTCAAGCCCACGGCCTTATGCGTGCTCTGCTACTGAGACACTCCAGCAGCTGCTCAGCAGGTTCCGGGCAAGGGCTCCGTCAATGCCCAGTCAATGTAGAATGAGATAAGGAAGGGTAAACCCAAGAAGGGTCGGCCGGGCAAACTCTTGGTTCTGGGAGCCTTGGCCACAGAACGGGAACCGCCTTATGGAAGAACAGCCTGAAATGTGGCCAAGTAAGCAAGACAAAGCACCGGAGGTAGCGGGACCCAGCATTCCCTCGCCAGTGGCGATAGAGTCACCAAGCGGGGCACTGCAGCTCGGGGTCATCAGCGTCTCATCGTCCCAGGTCGTGGGTGAGCCTATACTGTGTGCTCAGCAAGGGCGAGCTGGGCTTCTACAAGGACTCCAAAGGGCCAGCATCGGGGGGCACGCACGGCGGGGAGCCACTGCTGAGCCTGCACAAAGCCACCAGCGAGGTGGCTAGCGACTACAAGAAAAAGAAGCATGTCTTCAAGCTCCAGTGAGTCCTCTCATGGGAGGGGAGGGGTCCCGCTTGCTGCATCTCCCCAGAGGACTCTTGGTTCCCTTGAAGGACAATGGGTGATGGGAAGAGGGGTTGGGCCCCTCCAGATACCAGAAGCCCTGTATCTCCCTCAGGACCCAGGACGGCAGCGAGTTCTTGCTCCAGGCTAAAGACGAGGTAGGTTCTGGCCCTTTCACTCCGTTGGCTCATCTCTAAAGGGAGCAGCTTCCTGGGTGGGTCCTGAGCCAGATGGGGCAACAAGAGGAAACCACACAGGCTAGAGCTGTAACAGGAAAGAGACCAGTAAGAGCCCCGAGGAGCTTAATGAGTCAGGGCTGCTGGCGAGGCCGGTGCCTGCTGGCCCTGATACCTAAGTCCGTCTTCGTCTCCGTGGCCTCTCAAAAGGCCAGAAAGGTGATAGGCAGGAGTTTTAAAAGGAGCCATCAAGGTTCTAGAGAGATGGCTCAGTGGCTCAGAGTGCTGACTGCTTTTCCAGAGGACCCAAGTTTGGTTCCCAGCACCCATGTAGGGCAGCTCACAGCTCCCTGTACCTCAGCTCCAGGGGATCTAACACTCTCCTTCCCCCCCAAGGGCAGCCATACACACATGGCATCCATTCACACAAACACAACTGACAAGAAGGAGTGCTCAGGGTTGAGTATGGCTATCTTCTGTAATCTTAACACGCGGGAGGTGGGAGCAGGAGGGTCAGTCAGTGAGCTTGGGGCCAGCCTGGGCTACGCTGTCTTTAAAAAGGGAGATGTGTGATCCTCCTAGAGATAACCCAAAGGACAGAATTGCAAAGGCTTAAGACAGCCAACTGCAGGATAGCTGAGGTGAGGTAAATGGTCCCAGAAAGGTTCCCTGGGGTTGCATCTCTCAGTATTGGAGGTCATCAGGGAGGATTTTATCTTGGGTGCACTGGAGTGGAGTTGGGGGGCCACAACAGGACTTTGAGCTAAAGAGAATGACTATGATGTATAACAAATATGCCCTTATTGGAGCTTGGGAGATGGTTCAGTGGGGAAGAGGGTTGCTGTTCAAACCTGAGGCTATGATTTGGATCCCAGTATCCACAGTAAAAACAAAAACAAAGCAGACAAACAAAAACTACCAGGATGGCTGCCTGGATTATATCCCTGACTGTAGGATAAAGAGAGACAGGAGGTTCACAGGCGCGTGCTGGGAACGAAGCTCCAGGTCAGCGGACGCCCCGTCTGGAGGGAACTAAGCTGGAGGGAAGCAGCAGGGCACTTAGATCCCCTGGTGCCTGGACACGTGTGCACAGGGCGCCCCCAGCACACAGAGTCCCAGAACCGCACAAATAAGATGCCTTGTTGGCTCTTTGTTACTGTTTTGGTTATTTATTTCTATGTTTATTTATCTATTTATTGTTTGGTTTTTGAAGACAGGGTTTCTCTGTGTAGCCCTGGCTGCCCTGGAACTTGCTCTGTAGGCCAGGCTGGCCTCGAACTCACAGAGATCCACCCGCCTCTGCCTTCTGAGTGCTGGGATTAAAGGCGTGCGCCACCCCAGCCCATCTAGATTTATTTTATTTTTATTTTATGTCTGCTTGCCACATGCATATATGTGTACAGCACGGCCACCTTGTGCTCCAGCAAGGCTAGAGGAGGGTGATGTGTCCCCTGAAACCAGAATCACATGCTTGTGAGCCTTCATGGGGGAGCCTGGTCCTCTGGAAGGGCAGCCAGTGCTCTTAATTACAGATCCATCTTTCCAGTTCCTAAATTAGGTTTTAAGTTTTATTTTTTGAGGCAGGGTCTCTCTGTGTAGTCCTGGCACTCTCTATGTGTACAGGTTAGCCTAAAACTCACAGAGACCTTCCTACCTCTGTCTCCCAAGTGCTGGGGCTAAAGGGGTGACCCACCACTCTGCCCCCATTACATCATATTTGTGTGTGTGTGTATTCATGAGTATGTGTGTGGTCACGCATGTACTGTGCCTTGGGTGTGGAGGTAGAGGTAGAGGACTCTTCCTGAGTCAGCACTCTTCTTCCACTGTGCCGGTCCTGAATGTTGATGGCCACCACGCTCCAGTGTCCCTTTGCCCATTGGGCCCTCTTGCTTGCCCAGAAAAACTTATCTCATGGCTTTTGTGAAAATGAAGTAAGTTGGTGCGTGAAAACCGATTAGCACAGGGCTTGGTGAGCGTCAGGACTCTGCGAGCTCCTGCTCACTCAGTACTACTCTCCATTTGCTGTGTTTGTCGCTGCTTGGGGCCGCGGAGGTGGGGTTGGTTATTGCCTCTATTAAGTGAATAAATCCACAGAAGCGCTTAAAACTGTCCCCAATCCTGACTGCCAGTATTACCCTGGTAACAGAAGAGGAAGGTGAAGCTAGGGGGTCAGTGTGGTTGAGATGCTCCTCCACATCCGGGCCTGTCCTGCTTCTTCCGCCAGGAGGAGATGAACGGCTGGCTGGAGGCTGTGGCGAGCTCAGTGGCAGAACACGCGGAGATTGCCCGCTGGGGCCAGACACTACCTACCACGTCATCCACAGACGAGGGAAACCCCAAGCGTGAGGGCGGGGAACGCAGGGCCAGCGGGCGCCGGAAGTGATCCCAGGTACCCTCCCCCCGTTGGAATCTGACGAGTCTCCTTGCCCCTCCTCTCCACACCGTGGACACAAAGACAGCTTCTCATCCGCAAGGGCAGGAATGGCTGCGGATGTGCCACGGTGGGCCCTGGAATGGAAGGGACTTCTCCTGCACTCCAAGAGCTGGTGGTAGGGGGTTGCCGTCCCTATAGCCATATCTCGGTCCCTTCCCGCTCGCCAACCACCCCAGGTGCTGGGGCTCCGTTCTTTTTATGCAATAACTGAGCTTGGTGGGGACGGGCGGGGAGCAAGTTGAGCCACGCCCCTGCCCAGTCTTCAGATCCTGCCCGAGAAGCTGGAGTGGCGAGGGATCTGGGAGCTGGTGATACCTGTTGACCTCCTCTCCGCCCTAAGGATGGACACGGGGGCGCTGGTGAGGTCCCCTGGACCATCCAGGGTGCTAGGGGGTGGGGAGGGGACATACTCCCTCCCCGCCTTTACCTCACTTCCAATGCTGCCTTGATCGGTCTGGGAAGAGGGAGCGAAGGGGCCCTTAGCCCCTGCACTCCACCATCTCAGAGCCATGCGGTTAATTCCTGACTTAGTTTATTTTTGCAAAAACGTAGACCTCCCTCTCCTTCCCCCGCCCCGCATCCGCGAAGGCTTTTAATAGGAGGGGAGTCAAAGTTCAAAACTGTCTTCCTCTCTCCTCTCCCATCCAGCTGTAAATGCCACTTCCCGAGGGGAGGGGGGTGGGGAAGCCCTCCCCCTGCATGCTTCTGGCTGGAGCACCTCCCTGGGAGCGTGTGTGTTGAGGGATCAGGGTTACAAGCAGCCCCAGTGGCTGCCCGGAGCCACCGCCGGGGCCGGGGGTGCGAGGCGGTGTGGCAGGCGCACACTTTATGTACCTATAATAAACCCTTTGGCTTTGACGGTCTACGCTGGTTTGTTCGCGTATCTGAGACAGGTTTGGAGGGTGGGCTGTTGTGGGGACGAGGCTGCGAAGACCATCTCCTGGACTCTCGATACACTACACATTGGTCAGTAGGTTCCTTAACGAGTCACTTGGAAGTTACACCCAACTGTGGAAACCCTAGGAAAGGGGGGAGTTACTAAACTACCCCAAAGGATCCCCCAAGGTGCGCCCCGTCGGGGCCGGGAAAAGACCGCCCGGCCTTAAAGAGTCAGAGAACGTAATGTGACGAGCGAGCTCTCTGTCCAATCGTCGAAGGAGCCAGGAGTCTCTAGACCAATGAGCAAGCGGCAGGGGCGGGGTTTGTGCGTACCCGGAAGTGGGTGCCAGCCGGCAGGCTCGCCGGGGGGCCATGGCTGCGGCGGCGCCTGCTGCGGAGCGGGTCCCGGGTCGGGGAGCTCCCGGGGAAGTGATCCATCTGAACGTGGGGGGCAAGCGGTGAGTTGTGGGAGACCCCTGAGGCTCCATCCTCCGGGACCGAGGCGGGATACCCGCCTCCTCTCGGGGTGGGGGTGTAATCCCTGTCCATCAAGAGTTGCTCCGCCCCATGCTGGAGGCTTGGCCCCGGGATAAAAATGCCAAAGAACGCGTGGATCACGCGCGAGCAGGCAGCGGCCCTCACCTCTCCTCTCCTCACTGCCCAGGTTCAGCACCTCTCGCCAGACGCTTACCTGGATCCCAGACTCCTTCTTCTCCAGGTGATGAGGAGAGCCAGTTCGGGGCGAGGGAGGAGGGGGTGAAAGGAGAGAGTGTGGGGAGACCTATTTCGACCCTTAACCCCCTCAGCAACTCCGCTCATGACCCCTCCTCTATTTCCCCTTCCTGTAGTCTCTTGAGCGGACGCATCTCAACTCTGAAAGATGAGACGGGAGCTGTGAGTAGGGCAAGATCAAAAATGGGACGCCCGGTGGGAGGAGGGGCGACAGGACCTGCGACTTACCCCCGGTTTCTGCCGTGCCCCCTCACCCATCATGCAGATCTTCATCGACAGGGACCCCACCGTCTTTGCCCCCATCCTCAACTTCCTGCGGACCAAAGAGTTAGACCCCAGGTTGGTGCGGGTGAAGGGGTGAGTCCCGCCTCCTTCTCGGGATGTCCATTTGTTCCATTCTGAGAATTATCCAGTCTTGATCGTGCTCTACAGCCTCCTCCATAGATAAGCACCCATTTTCTTCCCTAGATTTTCTAAAGTGGTTTATGTAACTGTTTGCTTGGAGCGGGGCCTTGCTCTGCATCCCTGGCTGCCTGGCCCTCTCAATGCGGACCAGGCTGGCCTCAAACTTACTTTTACCCGCCTCTCATGTTCCGGAGTGGCAGTACCCCGCTCTCAACCTCCCTTAAGCCTGTAGCGGCTGGTTAGGCTTCAGTATTCTCTGTGCAGTTTCAAAAGCTTTCTCCTGAGAATGTGCTGCCCACCCCTACGCCCCAGACTTTTATACCCTGGTCTCTTCTGTTACCCAGGGGCGTCCATGGCTCCAGCCTCCTCCACGAAGCCCAGTTCTATGGGCTCACTCCACTGGGTAAGTGGGAGTGGCCCCAGGCGTTATCCTCAGTCGCTTCCTGTGCATTCTCTACGTCTTTGACTCCTCCAGTCAGAGAGACTGTTGGATTAGAGCTATGAGCACTGGATTTGGGTCTGGCTATGACGGGGTGGTGGTTTTCTGGAAAAATAGATGAGGGAAACAGGGGTCGGCCTTAGTTTCCTTTCAGGTTAAAGTTTTGAGTCTTTCCCTTTTAGTTCGTCGCCTTCAGGTAAGGGAAGAATTGGATCGATCTTCCTGTGGAAATGTCCTCTTCAACGGTTATCTACCTCCTCCAGGTGGGCACTCCCTGTTGATGGTAGGGAGGGGGAGATTGGGTTAAAGACTACATTTCCCATAAGGCTAAGGTACCGGTACTGGGCGCCCTGAGGTGCAATGGGAGTTGTAGTTCTTTATTAGATACCTGGAAAGGAAATAGGAAATAGCATTTTCCATGAAGCTGTGCAACAGCCACGAAGAGCTCTGAAGCATGCACCGGAGATTGGTGGGAGTTGTAGTCTGAGTTGTCTTAAGTTTCACCCATTTTTCAGAAGAACAAAACAAAACGCTTAAAATGCTAACTTTATGCCACAAACAAAATGAAAACGGGAACGGAGCAGCTGGGCGTGGTGACACCTGCCTTCAATTCCAGCACTCAGGACGCTGAGGCAGGCAGATCTGTGAGTTGGATACCAGCTTGAGTTACATATCCAGTTCTAGGACAGTCAGGATTACATTAGGAAACCATGTATAAGTCTGCACCCAGGGTTTTGTGCATTTGAGGCAGGTGCTTTTGCCCAGAGCCACACCCCCAAATCCTGACTGGTGAATTTTTGGCAAGGGTTCTACTTCTGAATCATGCTCACATCCCTTCCCCAGTAAAGCCTAGGAATGTGCTCTACAGCTGAGCCCATCTCTATATTTACTTAAAAGAAATAATTACTATGTTTATTTGTTTATTGGGTTTTTGAGACAGGGTTTCTCTGTGTAGCCCTGGCTATCCTGGAACTTGCTCTGTAGACCAGGCTAGCCTTGAACTCAGAGATCTGCCTGCCTCTGCTGGCATTGAAGGCGTGTGCCACCACGGCCTGGCCCATGTATTATTGGGCATACAGGGAGAGGTGCCCGTGTCTGGAGGTCAGAGGACAACTTGCAGGAATAGATTGTCTTCTTCCACCACTCGGGCTCAGGATCAAAATCAGGACTGCTGGGCTTGGAGGCAATCACCTTCACCGAGACATCTCTACCCTCTGCCTTTTTTTTTTTTTTTTTTGATACATTTTCAATGAGATGTTCAGTCTGGCCCTGAGCTTGCAAATAGCTGGGATTTAATCCAGAAGCAGAAAGACACACATGGTATACACTCACTTATAAGTGGATATTAATCATATAATAGCCATACTAAAATATACAGACCTGAAGAAGCTAAACAATAAGAAGGACCCTAGGGAGGATGCTTAAATCTCATTCAGAATGGCAAAGAGGTTAGACCAGAAGCAATGGAAGAGGAAACAGGATGGGAGCCTACTACAGGGTCCTCTGAAAGGCTCTACCCAACAGAGGATAGAAGCCAAACCTTGGGCAGAGCACAGGGAGTCTTATGGAAGAAGGGGGAAGACAGAAGGACACAGAGGGGACAGGAGCCCTACAAGGAGGCCAACAGAGCTAAAAAAAAAAAAAAAAAAAAAAAAAAAAAAAATCTGAGCACAGGGGGTCCTGCAGAGACTGATCCACCAACCTAGGAACATGCATGGAGAGGACCTAGACCCCTGCTCAGATGTAGCCGGTTGGCAGCTCAGTCTCCATGGGGTTTGCTGAGTAAGGCAGTCCTGATGAGACTTAACAAGCTAGGGGCAGATGGCAAGGGAGAAGAACTCCTCCTTTCAGTGGACTTGGGGAAGGGGATGGGGAAAGAGAGAAGGGGGTGGGACCAGGAGGAGTTGAGAGAGTGGGCTACAATTGGGATATAAAGTGAATAAATTGTAAAAAGAACAAATAGCTGGGATTACAGACCTGCCTACCAGTCCCGGATAAAATTAGCAAACACTCAAAAGCCATCAATAATATCATTGCAGCAGTGACCTGGGTCTTTCTCTGTCATGGGCTTCTGGGTCATTAAAGGTCATATCCCAGCACCACGGAGCACCTTCCCCAGGACGCCACGCCCCACAGTGGGGATTGGTCTAAGTGTCCATAGGCTGCCCACCATGACTTTAATTATGGTGACTGCCGCCTCCTCTACCTGTAGTGTTCCCAGCGAAGCGGCGGAACCGGCACAGCCTAGTGGGACCCCAGCAAGTAGGGGGACGCCCAGCCCCTGTTCGGCGGAGCAACACGATGCCCCCAAACCTGGGTAACGCGGGGCTGCTGGGCCGGATGCTGGACGAGAGAGCCCCTCCACCCGCATCAGGTACATGTCTGTCTTTTGTGTGTGTGCTGCACTTGGGGCTCAGCCACTGTCTCCCTAGTCTCTTTTGTTTTTCTGTTCTGAGACAGGGTCTCTCTCACTCAGGCCCGGGCTGGCCTGGTGCTTGGAGCAATCCAGTCCTCTTACCTCCGCCTCCCAAGGGCTGGAATTAGGAGGATGAGCACATGTGCGCCCTCAAGCCCTCGTATTTATCTGATGATCTATTTTTAATTCTCATTAGTGTGTGCACGTGTGCGCGTGTGTGTGAACGCATAGCAGCACCTTTGTGGAGGTCAGAGGGCACCAAGGAGGTTTTGGAGATTGGGCTTGGTTGTCGGCAGCGTGCCAGACTTCCTTTATGATGAACCGGCCTCACTGCCTCCAGCTTCTCTTTAACTGATGTCTGGAGACAGGGCCTCACTAAGTTCCCCAGATCGGCCTTGAACTTGTGTTCTTTCTGTCTCAACCTCCACACTACCTGAGATTACAGGCCTCCACCACCAGATATAGCTTCCATTTCTGTCCTTTAGGTCAGGGCGAGTGGGCCCCTGTGACCCTGCTCTGGTTCTCCTCTCTTACCCCCAAGGCCAACCGGAGGAGCCAGGGATGGTCCGCCTGGTGTGTGGTCACCACAACTGGATTGCTGTGGCCTATACCCACTTCCTCGTCTGTTACAGGTGCCGAGGGTGGGGATGAGCTTGCGGGGGCTCTGGCCCTGTGGCTAGGATGGCTCTGAGGTGGAGGTTTCTGATGTCTCCCAATCCCACAGGCTGAAGGAAGCCTCCGGCTGGCAGCTGGCTTTCTCCAGCCCTCGCCTGGACTGGCCCATTGAGCGTCTGGCTCTCACAGCTCGGGTGGGTGGCGGTGCTCTGGGGGAGCACGACAAGATGGTGGCTGCGGCCACAGGCAGTGAGATCCTTCTGTGGGCTCTGCAGGTGCAAGGCGGAGGCAACGAGATAGGTATGCCCTGTGGACTTTTCTGGAACCCTGTAGGATCCTGTAACCTGTTAAAACCACGCAGCCCATGAAACTCAGAAACCCATATAAGGAGAAGGATTCTGTGGCCCAGTCAGGCTCTTTGCCCTGTGAGACAATGTTCCAGACCTTCCAATCCCCCATGCTTCATTGTTTCATTTTGCCTTAGGCAGGGTTTTACCATGTAGCCCAAGCCAACCTTGAATTCCAGTTATTTCTGTCCTCAATCCTGAATGCTGGAGCAGAGCCACAGCAAGAGCCACCATGCCCAGTTAACACACTGATTATATTTTATCTTTATTATATGTTCATTTATGTGTCTGGAGAGAGGGGATCATGCATGAAATCCTGGATCTGACCCCAGCACCATCTAAACTGAGTATTGTGGTACAGAGCTGTAATCCAGCACACAGAAGGTGGCAATCCGGCCTGGGCTATATGAGACCCTGAATCAAAACAACAACACTCAGCCCTCGGCTGCCATGTTTCAGTGGAAGGGTGTAGGCCCTTTTGGAAACCTCAGCCTTTTAGAATTCAGCTACCGTCAGACTCCCACACCCGTCAGATAGTCCCTGTAATTCCTAGAATCCCCTTTGCCCCGGGGATCCCATGGCCTTCGGGGCTCTTGCTGCCCCACTCCCTGCCCTGCGGTGGGCTTCTAGCTCCTGCTGAGCCCTCCTTGCTGCTGCAGGCGTCTTCCACCTGGGCGTGCCGGTGGAGGCCTTGTTCTTCGTTGGGAACCAGCTCATTGCCACAAGCCACACGGGGCGCATCGGAGTGTGGAACGCGGTGACCAAGCACTGGCAGGTGAGTTCAGGTCAAGGGTCTAGACTATGCAGCCCAGGTTTCACCCCACCTAGGGAAAGAGCCAGAGAACCCTACAGTGGGTGTGAGATGAAAGTCTGAGGATCATGTGGGAAGCCTTCCTGGAGGAGTGGCTGGGTTTGGAGGAGAGTGGGGAGGGTTCTTCAAGCGCTGGGCTGGAGAGTGGGTGTAGGGTGGCGTAGGAAATGGGAGAAACGTACTGTGCTCATCACTCTACCCAGCCCAGGCCACATCTAAAGCATGGAGGGAAAGCGAGGAACCTTATTGTATTTCTCTTAAAAAAGTATATTGGGAGAAAGACAGAGGCCCAGAAAGAAGCACGGAGAGAGAGAAATAAGAAAAAACAGTGAAGGTGAGGGACACAGAAACACACACACACACACACACACACACAGAATAAAAATAGCAAAGGCTGTAACTTAATGGTAGAGCCCCTGTCTAGAATCCCCCAGTGAGGAGCTGAAGGGGGGCAGCTCAGTGCTAAAGTGCTTGATTAGCAGGGAGGAGGCTGCACAGACATGCACACACACACACACACACACACACGTGCACACCTACAATACCAGGACATGGGAATAGGCTCATCAGCCCTTCAAGGGCAGTGTGGGCTATTTGGCAAATTCAGTATCAACCTGAGCTAGACGGGGCTACGGGGCTGGAGAGATGGCTCGGCATTGGGAGCGCGCACGGCTCCTTCCAAGGTTGCAGGCTTCTTTCCCAGCGCCCACATCACACCGCCTGTGCCTGCAGCTCCAGGGGCTGTGGCACCTCTGGCCTCTGTGAACACCCACATCCATGTGCACACTCATGGTCTTAGAAAACAGTTTTTAAGAATTTAGGAAGACAGAGAAGAGGGCCAAGGAACAACCAATCTAAGATAGAGAGGAAGGCGCAAAGGCACGTTACAGGGAAAGCCAGCGATGTTTCACCGAGCGGCAAGGCAGGAAGGGATAGGCCCAAGCCAGGTGGCCTGGCCGGGCAGACTCACAGGAATGTCACAGGGATGCCAGGCGGGTCCCATGCCACTGCTCGTTCCTGCCCCAGGTCCAGGAGGTCCAGCCCATCACCAGTTATGACGCAGCCGGCTCCTTCCTCCTCCTGGGCTGCAGTAATGGCTCCATCTATTACGTAGGTGAGCAGCGCCCCGCCCCCTGCAGTCTAAGTGGGGGTAGGCTGGAGCAGGAGCCCCACACCAACCCGCTCCACCCCTGCCTGCCCACCTAGATGTGCAGAAGTTCCCCTTACGGATGAAGGACAATGACCTCCTTGTCAGTGAGCTCTACCGAGACCCGGCAGAGGATGGGGTCACCGCCCTCAGTGTCTACCTCACGCCCAAGACCAGTAAGCTGTGATGAGCTCCTACCCCGCTGTCACCAGCCAGCCGAAGCCCTGGCCTGCAGCCTCTGCAGCCTCTACCCCGCTGTCACCAGCCAGCTGCAGCCCTCGCCTGCATCTGTGTCCCTGCTTGCACGGCGGGTGGGATTCCTCATGAAGGGGCCACATGGGTTCTCATTTCCTTCAGCAGGTGGTTTAGTTTTGTTTAGCTTTCTTTTAGGTGCTGGGCTGCTGCTGGCCACTGTTAGGTAACTTTTTTGACTTTCCCCTGTGCCATCAGGACATGACATTTGCATAATTCATAAACCCCGGATTCACTCCAGATAGCACACAAATCCATGCTCAAGGATCCTTGATTTTTTTCTCTCTTTCTGGGAAGCCCAGACTAGCGTCTAACGTCAGAACCCCTCATCCTTCTGCTTTAGCCTCCCAAGTGCTGGGGTCACAGGCCAGCCCCTCGGTTCTTCTCCGTCCCCTAGATTTAATGTCCGTCCACGTTCCTATGCGGGCCACCAGTGCGTTGCCTGCACAACTTTCTGATGCCGTATTTTACCCACCTGTGTTCCTTACGATGGTCTGCTTAGTTCCCGGGAACCTCTCCAGCACTTGGGAGACAGAGGCAGGGGGATCTCGGTGAGTTTGAAGCCAGCCTGGTTTAAACAGCAAATTCCAGGCCAGCCAGGGCTACATAGTGATACCCTGACTCAAATAAAATAAAATAACTAAAAATAAAACTTTTCTGAGAATCTCAAAGTGAAAAGTTTGTCGGTGAGCTGGCAGTGGTGGCACACACCCTTAGTCCCAGTACTTGGGAACCAGAGGCAGGCGGATCTGTGAGGCTGAGGCCAGCCTGGTCCACAGAGCTGGTTCCAGGACAGCCAGGGCTACACAGAGAAACCCTGTCTCAAAGAAACTAGAAAAAAGAGAGAGCGAGAGAAAGAAAGGACCAAAAAATAAAATAAAAAAAGGAAAGAAAGAAGTTTGTCCGTGGAGTCCCGAGACACTGGGATGTTTCTTAGTCTCTGTTTATATGTCATTCTGGAATGTTAAAAGAGATTTGTTTTTAGTGACTATGAGTGTTTGGCTGCATGTGGGTAAGTATGACATGTACATGTTCGGAGCCCAAAGAGTCTAAAAGAGGGGATCAGATCCCCTGGAACTGGAGTTCCAGACAGCTGTGGGCTGCCGTGGGTGCTGGGATGGAACCCCAGTGCTCTGGAGAGCAGCCAGCGCTCTTAGCCAAGGAGCCATGGCTCCAGCCCAGCCTGCTTCTTCTCGGTCTTATTCTCTGTGTGTGTGTCTGTCTCTCTCTCTCCTCCAGTTTTCTTTCCTCCTCTCCCCTCTCTGCCCTGGTTCTGTTTCCATGTCAGCCCTTCTCTTTACTCCTAGGTGACAGCGGGAACTGGATCGAGATTGCGTACGGCACCAGCTCAGGGGTGGTGCGGGTCATCGTGCAGCACCCTGAGACAGTGGGCTCAGGGCCGCAGCTCTTCCAGACCTTTAGTGTGCACCGCAGCCCTGTCACCAAGATCATGCTCTCCGAGAAACACCTCATCTCAGGTGGGTCCCTCTGCCAGAGAGCCAGCTTTGAGAGCGGGAAGCGGGGGAGGGACAGCTCCGTGGGAGTGTACCGGAGAACCCGTGAGGGTCATCAGGAAGTGGAGGAAGACCGTAGCCAGCGCAGTGACTCATGCCTGGAGCCCAGTGCTCGTAGGCTGAGGCAGGAGATTCACCTCCAGTTCAAGGCCAGCCTGGGCCTTATGTGGAAATGTGCGCTTGCTTAGCATAGCGCCAGAGAAGTACTAAGTGTGAATCCTATCACCAGACCTGTAACCCTAGCACTCTGGGGGGTGGAAGACCCAGCAGGGTCAGAAGTTTAAGGTCATTTTCATCTGCTAGTGAGTTTGAAGCCAACCTGGGGTAGATGAGAGCCTGCCTCTAAAATATAAAAATAAAAAAGTTTACAGTAAGGGAAAAGTTAACATATATTTAGGAGGTGGGGGTTAAGAAAGTAACCAATTCATTAGGCATTTATTGAGCATCTACTGTGTAACAGGCTTAGGGTGTAGTGGTAGATACCAGGACAGATCCCTTCCCTGTGTCCGAGGGGACTGATTTTCTAGTTGAAACTGCAAGTGATAGAGAAGTAACTAAGGATGCAGGGTGAGGCATGAGTCAGCAGCAGAATGCTGCCCCAGGTGCCGGGTGCCCTCGCTTCAGTGCCCAGCGCAACAAAACAGGGTAAATAAGCAGAGGTAACCAGGCCTGGTAATGCATACCTGTAAACCCAGAGCCAAGAAGGGGTGACGGGTGTCCAGCTAGGTGAGCCTCAGGTTCAGAGGGAGACCCTGTCTCCAATTACAAGTTGGAAGGGACTGGAGAGATGGCTCAGCAGTTAACAGCAGTGACTGCCCTTCCAGAGGTCCCAGGTTCGACTCCCAGCACATACATGGTAGGTAACACACAAAGGCTCAGGTCCCTGGCCAGCCACCCTAGCATAATGGGTGATCCCTGTATGCCCATAATAGAAAAACTCTGTCTTAAAAACGAGATGGAGGAACTGGAGAGATGGCTCAGTGGTTAGGAGCACTAGCTGTTCTTCCAGAGGGCTGAGGTTCAGTTCCCAGCGCCCACATGGTGGCTCATAGCTGTCTGTAACTCCAGTTTCCAAGGATCTGGCATTTTCTTCTGGCCTTCATATGAACCCTTGTACATCTACAGTCTCACAGATGGGGCAGAAAGCTCAGAGGTAGAGCAGGTGCCCAGCTGTGGAAGGCCGTTGAGTTGATCCTTACCTCATGATAGGAAGATAGATAGATAGATGGATAGATAGATAGATAGATAGATAGATAGATAGATAGATAGATAGATGGATAGATAGATGGATAGATAGATGGATGGATGGATGGATAGACAGACAGACAGACAGACAGACAGACAGACAGACAGACAGATAGATAGATAGATAGATAGATAGATAGATAGACAGACAGATATAAAACAAAACACCACTGAGTAGTATTGAAGGCCATGAATAAGAGCGAGACTCTTGCTGGCTCTGGTGACACACACCTTTCATCGCAGCACTCAGGAGGCAGAGGTGAGCAGATCTCTGTGAGTTGGAGGCCAGCCTGGTCTACCTAGAGAGTTCCAGGATAGTAAGGGGTATGTAAAGATCCCATCTCAAAACAAAGCCAAAGACATTTAAAAAACATGCGTATGTGTGTGCAGGTGCCTGCAGAGGGTAGAAGAATTGTCAGTCTCCCTGGAGACGGGGTTATAGGTGGCTGGGAGCCGCAGACATGGCTGCTGGCACTGAGCCCATCCTCCACAAGAATAGCAAGGGCCCTGAACCACTGAGCTGTCCCTCCAGCTACCTCCACCTTGGTTTTTGTGTTTGTCTGCTTTAATTTTATGTGCGTTGGCGTTTTGGCTGCATGTGTGTCTATGTGGGGGCATTGGATCCTCTGAAACTGGAGTTACAGACAGTTGTTAGCCAACATGTGGGGGCTGGGAATTGAACCTGGGTCCTCTCCAAGGGCAGCCAGTGCTCTCAGCTGCTCAGCCATCTCGCCAGTCCCTCTATCTTATTTTTCAAGACAATCTTTTACTTGGATCTGGGGATCACCCGTTATGCCAGGTGGGCTGGCCGGGGAGCCCTGGGGACCTCCACATCTCCAGCGCAGGGATTCCAAGCATGCACTTCCACACTGAGGTGCTCGCCTGACGAACACCAGCTGAGCCATTGCCCCAGTCTCTGGGGTCTTGTCGAGGTAGAGGTCTTGCTGCTAGCCCAGGCTATGGAGCAAGAATGAAAACTTTGGAGTCAGCCTTCCAAACCCTGGGACTACGGGTGTGCGCACGGGATTGCAGCTCTGCTTTCACATTTCTTTCTCAGAGTGTGAGGATGGTTGAGGAGGGCTGACTGGGACAAGCCTGTGGGAGGCCAAGGACCTTAGAGCAGAAATGAAGCATGGAGATCATCGAGGACAAGCTTTCCAGGCAGAGGGAACTGGCAGTGCAAACGAACCAGTGGGGAGGGTGGGATAAATGCAGAAGGGCATGGCCAGTGTCGAGGGGTGATGTCCTTGCTCTGGCTGAGTGTGGAAGAGGGACAGGACAGGAACAGGAAGCTCAGAAAGAGAGATGAGGAAAAAGGCTCCTAGGTGGGGTCATGCTCACAGCCTTCAGAGGCAGAGCCAACAGGATCTCTGGGCATCTGGAACTCCAGCTAAGAAAGCTCCTAAAATCCTCTGGACCTCTCTGAAAGGGCTCATGCTGGGGAATCCAGAGGTTAGAACTGTGGTGTCTTGGCCAGGCTGACTTTCGGCTGTCTCTCCACTCTTTTAGTCTGTGCCGACAACAACCACGTGAGGACATGGTCTGTGACCCGCTTTCGAGGCATGATCTCCACCCAACCTGGTTCCACCCCGCTGGCATCCTTCAAGATCCTGGCACTGGAGTCGGCTGACGGGCACGGAGGCTGCAGTGCTGGCAATGACATCGGTGCCTGCTGGTCCCTGGCCCTCAACTCCTTCCCACAGACCTTGCCTGGGCCGTGTGGGATCCCACTTGCCTGTATACATCTGCCTGCCCGTTTAGCTGCTCCGCTGCCCACCAGCCACAGCTGCCCCTCGGCCTCCCCCTGACCTCCGTTGACCTCTCTGCTCCCGCTGATTCCCACTGATCAGCACTGGTCAGGCTGCCTTCTTCCTCCTCGCCCCAACACTGTTGATCCTTGTGAACCCTGCCTCTCTCTGCCTCTGCTGTGTTGAGCGTGGCCTGGGGACAGGATCGAGGTCTGGAGTTGGCGATGGAGAAAGGCTGGTGCCACGGGGTCTGAAGGCCCTCTGGACCCCGGCTAGCCCTTACCCTGCCCCTGCCCACCCAGGTCCCTATGGTGAGCGCGATGACCAGCAGGTGTTCATCCAGAAGGTGGTGCCAAATGCCAGCCAGCTCTTCGTGCGCCTCTCCTCCACCGGGCAGCGGTGAGTGCTGTGTCACCACGAGGCGGGGCCAGAGAGGACCCAAACCTTGTCCACCCGAGGGACCTGCTCCTGAAGGAGCAGAGGCCACAGGGTCATGTGTGTGAGGACTCTGGAGACAGCCCAGGCAATGGGGTGGGAGGGGTGCAGGGGTGCTCGGGTGAGAAGGGGCACAGGCAAACGGTTGGAGAAGGTGTGGGTTGCACGCCGGGGTGAGGAGGAGGAGTGGATGGACACACAGGAGGCTGAGGCCTTGTTCTGACTGTGTGGGAAGCGGTGGCTGTGTAAGGGGATGGACAAGAGGTCAAGAGGCAGGGGTCAAAAACCAAGTGCCTGGTGGGAGACGAGGTGAGACAGTGATCTGAGAGATGCTGAGTGGCCCATACAAGGCGGCAGATGCTGCGAGACCAGCGGGGGATGTCAGAAGGAAGGGCCCTGAGGCCCCTGGGATATGTGAGTGTGGATGGGGCCAGAGTGTCTGAGATGTTGAAGCAAATCCAGATCGAAGATGCTGAGGCTGCAGCCTGGCCGGTAGAGTGGGTCAGCACAGCGCATGCGCAGCACACATGAAGCCTTGGGTTTGAAAATAAACCGTGTGATATCGGCCCGTAACCCCGACACTCAGGAGGCAAAGGCAGGAGGATCAGAAGTCTAAGCTCCTCCCCCGCCACCTGGCGCTTCGCAGGCCAGCCCGCACTACGTGAGACCCTGTCTCAAAACAAAGAAAATAAACCGGATGGGGATGGATAAGGATTGGGGGTGGCAGCGGAGCGACAGGACCTGGGGTGTAAGGAGAGGGACCAGGCCGAGTGACTCCTGACCCCCCGCCCCCCACAGGGTGTGTTCCGTGCGCTCAGTGGACGGCTCGCCCACGACTGCCTTCACGGTGCTGGAGTGTGAGGGCTCTATACGGCTGGGCTCCAGGCCCCGACGCTACCTGCTCACGGGCCAGGCCAACGGCAGCCTGGCCATGTGGGACCTGACCACGGCCATGGATGGCCTGGGCCAAGCCCCTGGTACTCCCTGCCCCACTTCAACCCTGTCCCAGGCCCCTGCCCTCTGGTCCCCGTTGGCCTTTCTTGCTCTCCAGCCCTTTCTGATTGCTTTTCCCCTTTCTCTCTCAGCCCCCGCCGCGCCCCGCCCGCACCCCTTCTCTCTCTGCATCCTTTCTTCTCTCCTGCCTCCAGCTGCTCTTTGCCTCCTCCAGCAGGTGGCCTGACCGAAGAAGAGCTGATGGGCCAGCTGGAGCAGTGTGAACTGGCCCCGCTGGCCTCCTCCCGGGGTGCTCTCCCCAGCCCCTCACCCAGGACCTCTCTTACCAGGTAGCCGCAGTTCTGCTTCCCTCTTTGTTCGATGGAAACAATACGGTGACACACGGTGACACGGGGGTGGGGGATGAGGGTGGGGGTGGGGGGCTCTGCCCTGTGAGCTGAGTGTCCCTCCCTCTCAGTCTCCACTCAGCCTCCAGCACCACCTCCCTGTGTGGCCACAGAGGGAGCCCCAGCCCACCACAGGCAGAGGCCCGGCAACGCCGCCCAGGGGCAGGAAGCTTTGTGGATAGGTGTCAGGAACTGGCGAGGAGCGCGCCTGAGCCCCGTCGGCCACCGACGCCAGCCCCTCGACCCTCCACCGGTCTTGGGACTCCCCTGACGTCTCCCAAGAACTCTCTTAACGAGACCTCCTTTTGAACCTAACTGCCACAGTGCCTTTATACAGACTGGTCCCAGGAGACTCAGAAGCTTCTGGTTGGAGACAGGACCTCCTTAGAGCGAGCGTTGTCCCTGGGGTCCCATCACCCTCCTTTCCTAAAAGCCAATGTCACCCTCCTTAATAAAGCCCTCACTGCCAACACGCTTTGTATTCTTGCTTTTTTTTTGGGGGGGGGGGTGTGGGGGAGTGACGGGTGATTGAGGGGTAGGGACCAATCAGGTTCTGAGCTTTAAATTCAGAAACATTGTACTGGGTGAGGCATGCAAATCTCAGAGTTCAAGGCCAGCCTGGTCTAGAGTGAGTTCCAGGACAGCTAGAGCTACGTAGAGAGACCAATAAGCTACTTATTGAGACAGGGTCTCTATGTCTCGATAAGTAAACAAACAAACAAACAAAACTGGGAACATCTGCCTTCTGGTTTAAGCAAAGAAGAGAACATAACGGCTCAGTGTCTGGCCGCTGCAGGCTGCATGCAGGGGTTTGGAGGCTTAGAATGGCCTTCTGCCTCTTGCCTTTGTTTTCTTCTGGGGTGCTCATCTGCAGTCCAGATGGCTCCAGAAGAACCCTTACTGTCCCTCCCTCCCTCCCCTTTTCCTTCTCACAGCAAAACAAAGACAACACAATCACAACAAAAGGAGCTAAGCGCGGTGACGCAGCAGCAGCACCCAGGAGGCTGAGGTAGGAGGATCTCAAGTGTTGACAGGATCTTGACAAACCTCTGACAGGATTTAGGTTAGGTGAGCCCCTGTGCATGGCTGAAGGATTGCCTAGATGGGTTCCTGGATGTGAAGGCCCAGCCCTAACGTGGACACCACCGTGCTGTGGGCTGGCATCCCGGCTGCACGAGAAGAATGAGCTGAGCACTGGTGGTTCTTGCTTCTGCCTCCTGATGGCATATACAATGTGACCGTGATGAACTGTACCCTTGATGTCAGCCAAGATAAATCCCTTCTTAGCTTGCTTCTGCCGGGCACTTTTCATAGCGAAAGATAAAAAAATCTAATGCGTAAATTAAGAGTCTACTCTGGGGCAGGGCATAGCGGCACACCCTTTTGATCCCAGCACTCTGGAGATCTCTGTGAGTTTGAGGCCAGCCTGGTCTACACAGCAAGTTTCAGAATAGCTGGGCTACACAGAGAAATCCTCTCTCAACAAACAAACAAAAACGGCCAGCCATGGCTTAACAGAGAGACCTCGTCACAAAACAGAATACAATTTAAAAAAAAATCACAAGATTGTCCTTCATGGTCTTGAGTCACTGAAGCAGTCACTGGTCAGTGTGGTGAAGGGTTTCCACAGTCCTAACCTGGGCCATGAGCCCTTAGAAGCTAGGAGGCAGGGCCAGCCCCATATGGGCAGAGTGAAAGAGGTTATAAAAGATACTGGCCTGGTACAGTGGTGCATTCCTTTAGGCCCTGCACTTTCCCAAAAGGGGAAAGAGGATGTTGACCAATGGTTCTTTACCAGAAATGCTGAAAATTAAAGGATTCAGCAATAAACCCAGGCTGTTGAGATGCAAAAAGAAGAGGAAAGAACCTTCTCATTCCCAGAAATTCATGTCATGGAAACCCTGGTGCTGTTGCTCATGCCTAGAATTTAGCACTCTGGAAGCCAAGGTTGTTGGTGTGCTTTTTAACTCTATTTTATTTATGCCTCCACCTCCCTTCCAATCCCCAACCCTAGGTAGAGAGAAGGTTAGAAAGGAAAGGGCCTAGACCTCTTTAGACTTAGTTTCTGGGGGCAAGCCCAATCTTTGTAGTCAGAATATACCCTTACACCAGCTAACCAGCAAAGGCAGCATCAGCAGCCTTCTTTCTTGGAGCATCCCTCGAAGTGTCCTTGAAGCGTCCTCTTGTGGAGCGTACTATTCTCTCTCTGGGCTCTGGTATTTATACCCTCTCCGAGTCCTCAGAATTCCACTAACTGCAGCTGGCGAAGACCACACCCCTCTCCGAGCTGCACCAGGCAACGATTAGCTGTGGACAAACTGAAAGCAGCCCCGTATCCTGTACTTGGGATCAAAACAGAAACATAAAATAACTGGGTCTTTAAAGAAACCAGGTGGACCAAGAGTTCAAGGTCATCCTCAGCTACATAGTGCATTTGAAGCCAGCTAAGGATACATGAAATACTGTCTCACCCCCCCCCCCCAAAAAAAAAACCCTAAGTGGCATGGAATTCTGGATTGACAGAGCATCTGGGACACAAGTGGTGGTAAAAGGCAACTGATTGAACTCAGGGTGTTCTGGAATGCCCATAACCCCAAACTCTGGAGTAACGTTTACATGCCAGGACAGTCAGAACCTGTGGGATATGTGATTGGTAGGGATTCTAAAGAGTATGTAGGAGCTAGAATGTCAGGAAATCTACAAAACACGAGGCTGCTTCGTAATGGTCGCAGATCCAAACACTGGGGTCGTGTTTTTCCGTGCCAGAGAACTCTTACGTTTCTACAGTGCTCATGATTCTAGGAGAAGCAGAGAGTGTTCTCCAATTGAGGTGATTTTGTTCAAGACTAGGAATAAAATAGTGCACGGAGGAGAGAGCAGTGTGGTGAAGCTTCTGGAACGCCATGGTCCAGAGCTCCAGAGGGCTTTTGAATGTTGAGATCCTACTAGAACTCAAGGAATAACATAAAATTGGCTTAAAAACCAGCAAGGGGAACTGGAGACTCCAAATTCAGGGGGGAAGGGAAGCTAGTACCATCCCTGCCATCCCCGGAAGTTGCAGTGGTAAGCCAGAGGCTGTTGCCTAGCAACGAGCATTGACGATGCCCTGGATCCTGGGCAGAAGGGAGACATTTCGGCAGCGCCCCCAGCAAATGCTCCAGCCACAGGGTAGGACATGAGGAGGGGCGGGGGGAGACAGGTGAGGGACGTGGTGTCCCACAGAGCCATGTGAGCAGGGACTTGGGGGCCACACAAAGACAGAAGCAGGGATCACAGCTAATGGGCAAAGCTGGGCTCTCCATCACTGTGCTGGGTCAGCCCAGGAACAGCTGAGAATGAGTCCCCACTGCCACCGTTACTGCTCCTGGGCCTGTAGGGCCCGGGACAGTGGGTGGGCCTGCTCCGAGTCAGTGTGCGGTGGAGGCATGAGCTGCTGTAGGTGGCGGTGACGGTGTGAGGGTGGCTGTTGAGTCACTCCGTGTGGCTCATTGCAGGGAGACGTGAGGTGTGCGACCTTCCAGTGGAAAGAGAGGGCTCGGGACAGCATGAGTCTGGGGAGGTTGGATCGGTTAGGGCCAGAGGCCAGGTTACCTTCTGTGGCTGGGGGCGGGGCTAGTGTTTCAGTCAACAAGCTGGCTGGTGCAAGGTGGGCACGCACAGTCCTCAAACGTGGGAGGCCAAGGAAGGAGGAGGAGAAGTCCAAGAAAAATTCCAAGCAAATTCGAGGGGGGCGGGGAGTTGAACTGTTGAGAGATGACGTTCCAAACCCAGAGGTGGCACATCACAGGCAGAGTGGGCTCGGTTCGGGATTCTAAGTCAAAGGGTATCTCATTTCCCTCTGCCTGGAGCTCAAGAAAAAGAGGCGACTTGAGGCGCAGGCCGAAGCTCTAGGGGCTTGGGAGGCTGAGAAGACAGGGTTGGAACTGGAGGTTGTGTTTGCTTGCTTGAAGCAGCTTCTTGCCATGCAGGCCTAGATGGCTTGGAATGTGCCTTTAGACCAGGCTGGCCTGAGGCTTGTAGGCTATTTCTCCCACATGCCGTGTTTACAGGGCTTACACTACCAATGCCAGGCTGACGTCCAAGTTTACAGCAAAGGGAAGGAGTTGGGCTGAGACCTCTGGGCTTGGGGGTCACAGGCAGAGCTCGAAGCCTGGAACTCACCAGACTGGAGGGGGTGCGCTCAGTGTTCCTGTAGCCTGCGCTCCCCCTGCCCAGAGAGGAGGGGATTAGAGGCCTCCAAAAACAAACTCTGGGTTGTGAGGGTCATTGGGGGACACTCTAGGAGTCAGGCAGGGAAGGGGTTCTGGTGTCTCTAGGGACCTAAGCAGAGAGGGATGTGGAAGGGGCCGAGCTGGGAGTCCTCTGGGAACTGTCTGGTCAAGGGCGTAGCCTGCATTCACGGAAGGGCAGAACTTGGGAGGGACAAGTTTTTGCAGATGGTGGGGCTGAAACAATGGAAGGGGCCATCTTGCTGAGAGACTTGATGTGGTTCGCAGAGACGGCACCCGGGTCAGGTGGAAGATTGGTGCTTCAATACTAAATTCTTGTTTCCTCGAGATTTGGGTGGGGAGGCTGAAGAGGAAAAGAGGGTTTCGTTATGTAGCCCAGGCTGGCCTGGAACTCGGAATCTCCCTGCCTAACTTGGGAAACGCCACCAGGCCTGATTCATCAGCAGAATGCGGTCTTTCTCAAGTGGGCGGTGGGTACCGGCGGACTATCGGTTCTATAGCTAGACAGACAGAGTCCTCCCAGCACTGGGCAGAGGGTGAGGCCTGCCAGCGGAAGTCCAGCCTAGAGGACCTGGACCCCCTTGACATCCATGTCGGTGATAAGCACTGCTGTCACTTGAGGCCTCGGCTGAAGAGATTCAGGCAGTCTGTACCTGACTCCCGCAATCCTCCCGCCTCCGGGAGAACTCCCCACCCCGGCAACCCCGCCCGGCACCTGTCCATCTAGCCCCTCCCCTGTCGCGTATGGATTGGAGCGCTGGCAGTGCCGGGCTCTGATTGGAGGGAAGTTTCACAGCCCCAGGCTGGCCTGGTGGAGAAAGTGAGTCGGCCTCCGGCTGGGGCGGGGGAGGGGGCGGGACCGGGGCCAGGCCGGTCTGGACCCACTGGACACACTGCCCTCCCGGAGCGGGACGCTGCACCGGACACGATGCGCCGGCCTTGCCTCCCCGGCCACCGCCCCCTCTTCCTGCTGCTGCTGCTCTCCGCCGCCGCCTCTGCTAGCGGCCCCAGTCCGAGCCCCAGCTCTGGCCGAGCCATCGAGGACGCGGTGGTCCCGGGCCACCAGGCCGGGTAAGCCCACTGCGGCATCCAGTAAGTCTGGTGGTCCCGGAGGATCAAGACCTTCAGATTTAGGAGACCAAGAAGCAGCTGCTTTTGGTAGGAGGATTGCAGGGCCGAAGCTCCTGGGTCCACCAGGAGCCCCTCTGCTGCAGGCGTTAGAGTTCGAAAAGCGCTGAGACGCTGAGGAGGGAGGGTCCCTCCAAGGTGGTGGGAGGATGAGGCTCCGCCGGCTTCCGAGTTCACTGGGGGGGGGGGACCCCAGGTGATACCGGGAAGGCTTCGCGTTCTCTTAGCACGTTAGAGATGGGTGGGGCCCTTGAGCTAGCGTGGAGCTACCCACGTCTCTTGAGTGTTCAAAAAAAAAAAAAAAAGTGTGTGTGGGGAGGTGGGTGTGTTGGAAGGTCGTGGTGGGACCTTAAAGCAAAGCTGGCGTGCTCGGGGTTTCTGGGGGCGCTGGGTTGGTTGGGAAGGGCTTCTGGGTTCCTCTAACAGGTGAAGACGGGGCTGGGCTGCTGGCGGGGCCCTCGCGTTGCCTGCTGCTCCGGCGCGCCGAGACCGAGCTCGTCGGGGCTCAACGGACGGCCGGCGCTTTGGCGGCGAGATCCGGGCAGCTGCTGAGGGTTCTGGGCTCCCGTCCGGTCGGAGGGCGGCGGGGTCGGTGAGCCCTCCTGCCCAGCAGCCGGGCCTGCCTGGCAGCCCTGCGCTCCGTTACAAAGGCCGCGGGCTCGGCTCCCGCCCGGGGCTCTGGGAATGCGTTTAGTAACCCGAGCCGCGCCGGGGGCGGGGCTGGGAAGGGGTTAACCTGCAGAAGGGGCGGGAGGCGCGGCCACCGGGCTGGGGGCCGTCTCGAGGCTCCCCCGGGACCGCCTGCTTCCGTTCTGAGCCCCACGCATCTGGGAGGTGTCGGGGCGCCGCACTCCCCTTCTCAGCATCTCCCAGGGTTGTTCCGCCTGGGCCTGAGCGTGCGCCGTCGTCCCCGCCCCCCCTTAGCTTGGGCACAATGGACTTGTCTGGGGGCCTCTGGGCTCCGGCGCTCTGGCGGCGCAGCCGAAGGGTCGCGGCTGAGACCCCGCGGCGCGGAGACATGGCCAGGAAGAACCCTTTCCCCTCGGACACCGAGCCCCAAGGGCCAGGAGACCCCGGTTCCAGGACGCACACCCTGGAAAGGCGGGAACCAGATAGCGGTCAAGCTCGGGGTTCCCAGTCCTGGACTGCGGAGTCCCCTTCCACCTCAGCACTGTGCTGGACCCGGAGTCTGAGGAGTCACCGCAGTGCGCGGCCGCCGAGGTCTGTGTGTGTGTGTGGCGCCACCTGCCGGCCAGGACCAAGATGGCGGCCGAGTCCCGACTTCGAAGAATTAGTGGGCGGAGCCCTAGAGCCCAGACAGCCCAGGCTTGGAGATGCACTTAGAAATCTCCTTTGAATGTCTCTGAAAATAATCTTAAGCCTGGCGTGGCGGCTCACGCATGTAACTCTAGCACTAGAGGCGTATGAAGCAGGAGGATTGCTGTGAGTACGTTCTAGATCAGCCAGGGCTACCATGCATGGTCTTATCTCAAAATAATGGCGCTAAGAATGAGTTCGAGGCCAACCAGAGCTACATAGTGAAAACTTGTCGAGAATGATGATGATGAACTTCATAAGATGCAGGTTGAAGTCTAAGCTAGTCTAAGCCCCCACTAGCTCTACAGGCAGAGAAGCACCTCTCGTGAAGTTAAACTGTCTGCTTGGTTTCCTCACCATCCTCCACCCCACCCCCCCCTTCGGTCCTGAACAGTTCCACTCTATTTACAGAGCTGCTGCCTGTCGCTGCTGCCTAGGCCAGGCACCTAGGAGAAGCCGCTGCTCGCGAGGTGGGTTTTCCCGGGGAGTGTGGGTGTGGGTGTGTGGGCAGGGGATGAGAGGCCTCCTTCCCCAGCCCCACCCAGAATGAAGAGATGGACCAAGTGGATAGAGGCTGGGCCTCCAGCTTCTCCACTGAGTCCCTGACTGTCTCTGAAGCTTCCTGCAGGGTCCAAAGCTGCCCACCGGACAGGTGCCCAGGTCTGCAGCCGTGCCTGACGCCAACGCCCCCAGTGCCCAGCCCCGGCCCCGGCCCCGTGGAGAAGAAGAGCCAGGTGTCCCTCAATTGGCAGCCACTGACGTAAGCATCCGGTTCCTCCCCTCCCCAAACACAGGCTGGTCCCGAGCCGTTGTCCGAGCTTCTGTTTCTTCTCTTCCTTGCCTGCCTTCATCACTGGCGCTTTGCCTCCTGATCTGTGTCCATCTCTGTGCTCCCCCACTTTTTCCTTCCCAACCCTCTCATCTTCTCTGTTCCTGTTAGCTGTGTCCCCTGCCTGTTCCTAAATCGCATCTCTCTCCTCTCTTTCCATTTCTCTTTCTTCTTCCATAGTCTTTTCTCTGAAAGCACTTCTCTAAAGCACACCCAAGCCTTGTTCCCCTTAAAAGGGCCGGAGGTATTGTAGGGCAGAGCCGCCCCTGGAAGTGTTTCTGGCCGAGGAGGCCAACTTAACAGTGGTGACAGCCTCTTCCGTCCCTTCCACCCAGTCTGCAGGAGGCCCGCGCTCTGCTGAGGCAAAGGCGGCCCCGAGGGCCGTGGGCCCGGGCATTGCTGCGAAGAAGGCCCCCACATCGCGCCCCTGCCGGCCAGGCCCGGGGTAAGAACACCCGCCCTTCCTCCACGTAGGGGGCGGAGGGGGTGGTTCCGGGCCAGATAAAGCCGTCTGGTTCCCACGAAGCTGCCGCCGCCTGCCAGTCCCCCATTGTAGCTCAGTCCCCCCCCCCTCCCCAGGACGCGGCCACCTCTAGGGACCCCTGCGTCCGGCAGTACGAGGTGAGCCAGGGACAGAACTAGACGCAGGCCAAGGGCGCTGACCCATCGGGGTGGGGCCGGGAAGCCAGGCGTCCGGGCTCCCGCGGCTGAAGAGGGGGGGCGGCTCGCCCAGTGGAGAGCGAGGCCGAACCAGCCCAGACAACAAAAGCGATGGTGCGGGTTGGCGCCTGCCTGGGCACAGAACGCCCAAGATTGCGGGACGGCTGGGGCCGAGGGCCCTCCCTCTCGCGTGCCCGACCCTCCCTCGGCCCTGCCCTTGCTCGGGCTCCGTACCCCGGACCAGACCCACCCTCAGAAGCCCCTCCTGCTGTGTGGCCTTCATCCCACGGCCGTCCCTTCCTTCCTAAAGTCTTCCAGATGCGAGCCCCGGGCCAGTGTGGGGACCCCATCCACAGTCTGGACCTGCCCCTCGCCCTTCCCCATCCCGACCCTCCCGCCAGGTGTGCCCTGGGCCTGCTGTGGCACCCTCAGATGTGCGCCCCGCCCTCCTCCCCAGAAACCGGCGCCTCGATTTCCTTTATGGGCTCTGGGCACGGACCCTTCTCTCCACCCACACGCGTGCCATCTCGCTCCCACAGGGGCCATCCTGTCCTCTATCTAGACGAAGCCTGCTTCCCTGCGCCTAGTCAGAGGACCAGCCTTGAGCTGGCTCCCCAGGGGCGGCCCCCATGGCTCTGAGGGGCTTCCTCTCCACGGAGTGCAGCTCCGTCTGGGGGCAGAGCCGCCCGCCCCCACCTGTTCCCTTCCCCGCTCCTCCCTTACGGCCTCGTCCACTTGTTGGCGCGCGGGTGGGAGCAGAGGGGGCGCCCTGCCCCTCCCCCTGCGAAGCGAGCGCCCAGCCTTCGCGCCTCTGGCCGGGCGCCCGGCCCCACGCGCCCCCGCGCGGCCGCCCGGGAGGGAGCGGTGGGGAGGGGGGGCGGGCGGGGGCGCGGCCGCCC